TGTCAGGGCCGTGCGTGGCTAGCGCGGTCCTGGAGTCTTAACTGGAACCCATGGACCCTCCCCCCTGGCCGGTACTTGTTCGATAAGCTGTCTTGCAATACGGGAGCTACCATATCCCATAGCGAGACACCGAGTGAATATTATGAAGAAGAACGTTTGGTTATCTAACATAACCGCAGTTCTTAGAATAATATGAGCGAGGTGTCTCGCCAGACAACCCTTCTTGCTAGGCGGTGAGAAGAGGTTTGCTTATTGAATTGCGCGAGTGTTATCTGCGCACACTATATATAGTAGGTGGGACTACTGGGTGCGGCGCGGATGAACACCTTCACGGCCAATCAAGATTGGCGGATTGAGATAAATGCTTCTATCAGGGCTGCAGGAGGCTGCATCCCATAGCGAGACACCTCGCTCATATTATTCTAAGAACTGCGGTTATGTTAGATAACCAAACGTTTTATTGTAGAGTGCTGATGATTCCTGCATGAAGCTAAAGTCCTTAAAGACATTAAGAATAAATAAGTACTCCTGCACTTTATGGAGACAACTTACTTTGCCAGGTTTTACTATACACAAGAGACTCACTGCAAAGATATTAAAAACAACAGGGCCAACAGGGGCCTGGACTACAGCTGCATAATGAGAAGCTAACTCCCTTTGAAAAGTCATGGACAACTAATCAAGCTTGAGAGAGGCGAGAAAAGTTCAGCAAGGGATTCAATGAGGTGACAAAAATCAACTTTATAAAGAGAACCCTTGAACGAGATGACGGCACTGATTAGAAAGCTGAAACCTCACAGGGCACATAAAACTAAAGAGATTTAGACTACAAAGAAAAAAGGATAATGCACATAATTACAATATATAAACTGCTACAAATATATAATGTCAGGAGATGGTCCATCCCTGCATTAAAAATGGCCAAATAAGTCCAACATCTGTGATAGCTGTAATCAGACTCTTCAGAGAAGCCTGTAATAAAAAGGTTGTCCCTCCGATGGTGATGTCCAGATTGATCCATTAAGAACATTAGCGGGCAGTCCACTGTGAGACCGCAGGCTGAGGAATGTTAGTGATTTCTTCACAGAGCTCTCACCGGCAAAGGACAGTGTATCATTGATCTTTGTGGTGATGATCTGATATGTCTTTGGCAGCACCAGTAATTGCTAACTAATGATATGTTCATCAAGCAATGTTTCGGACTGTCCAATTTTGTTCAGTTGATCCTTTAAAGCCAGTGTGGCAAGGACACGTTATAGTGGTCTATTCTCATTTATTTACTTTAACATGTAGAGAGGCAGGCTATTAGAGCGGAAAAGATTAGTCCAAAACAAATCACCAACTGTTTTGATAATCAATTAGTTAGTTTAGGTCAAGCAAAATTTCCAAACATTTACTGGTTCCAGCTTGTTAAATTTGGACTGTTGGCCAAAACAAGCCATTTGGAAGCATCATTGGGGAACTCTGGAAATTGTGAAGGGCATTTTTCACCCTTTCAACAACACCATTAATCTATTGATAAAATAAATTAACAATGATGTTAAATAGAGGCAGCCCTTCATTCTCCCGTGTTTTATAAGAATACTTTTTCAAAATGTATTACATGTTTTCTGATATCTGATTTTTCCACTTTTAAAACAATACATTTCCTCCATCTGTCTGAAACTAGCAGAAACAGCAAGAACAAAAAAATAACACAAATTTCCATGGAAATTATTCATACATATGCTCTATCAGGTACTCAAACTAATCTGAGTAATGCCAAAAAGGAGAAAAACTTGCCCTGCTTACTTCATCACTAGTCAGTGCACAACACTATCCTGAAATGTGTCCTAGTTTAGAGCATGGTGGCAGTGATACAGAGAGTAGTGCTAGTCTAACAATTTAGCCAAGGCAAGGCTCTTGACATTCTAATAAGGGAATTTGCTGCTCCAGTTTAGCAGTGATGGAGCGGGGCTCTTTATCAGGCAGGCCAGGCCACACACCTGGCAAGCTGCGACACCATACTGAGCCAGGCTCTCTCAATGGTCCACGTCCCTCTACTGCTCTCCATGGAATGAACCACCGGATGTTCTGGTAAAAATCAGCCAAAGATGATGACTGACCAAAGTTTGACAAAAAAGGCAAAGGTCAAGTTAATTTACTCTATGAAATTTCAATATAGCAAATGATGTGAATAAAGTGTTGAATGTAAAATGTTCCTCCACTTTTTCTGTGTGTTTAGTGCTAAAAGGACAAATGTTTTAAAAATTGTGAGCCAATTTGTTCCGACCTGCGACCATAACTCTGAGCTATCATCTTTCATCAAAGCCGCTTTGGTTTTTCCCTCTAACACTTGCATTGACAACAAAATTACATTCAATGAGATTAATGTGCTTTACATGTGCTAATGCAGCAGCAGTGCAGTGTTTTTCACAATAACAGAGACAGAAACGCAGGGAGAGGGAATGAGGAACTGACAAGAAGCTGTAATGCTACAAAGGTGAAAACATCTATTGATGGCAAATCTTTTCTTAAAATAAGGGATAATAAGAGGAGGATAAAGGAGCCATTATTGACGAGAAAAACAAATGCATGACACCACAGTTCTACAGAGTTTCTCTGGAAAGGAGAACAAGGGTTTGGGTTCATTCAAGTCCACTTGTTACAGGATTTACTAAAGATGGGATAGTTCAAATGTGGAAAACAGAGATGCGACAAAGAGACAGAGATTACTGAACTCTGATTCACTGAGGTCCAAAGATAATTCTTTACCTTGGAACCAGCAATTGAGAAGAGAATCTCAGATCAGTTCAAATGGCTTTCTTGATATAGATTGAAAGCTCTAAAACAGCAACAATATGGATGTGGTGTTGGAACTGCTGTTTGAAGGACCAAGGATGAACTTTGAAATGCAACTTTTAAGTGGATTCGGATGCAAGTCATATTAGTAGAAAGTAAAAAAGAATAGTTAAAATAGAACTTGAAGATGAGAAGTTTGTAAGGTTGACATGACATCGCAAAAAGGATTACAGTAAGGAAGCACGATGTAAGTGCAGCATCAGCGCATGAACAAGATGTTCAAGCATTGCAAGATACAGCAGTGAAAATTGCTAAAACCGAGTTCCTATTTTTCTCACGAATGTACAAATGTACAAAATAGCAAAATGCGTGGAAAAGGGACAAAATACCTCAACAATGCATTTGCCTTTTATTTTGTGGTTCTCACTTTACTAATGGAATGCTGTTAGCTTGACCCGGAGAGGTGTGAAAGCTTTTTCCTTTTCTTTGCTTTAATGTGTCCGTTGCAGCAAAAGAAAAGCAGCACCCATCTCCATTGAACGAAACATTGAAAAAGGAGAGAAATGTGACAAGTCTCTACAGTAAACAGACAATTAGAATAATAGTAAGCAAAATTAGGTCACAAAATGAGCCTATTACCGTGATGTCATGTAGGCAAAGATGGATATCATCTACAGGGAGAGCGATATTTTGTTTCTTTTGCCAGGTCTATTGAGAGAGCATTGTCTGATAGTCGTACCACATCGGGCTGTTGTTGAACCACAGAGAACAGCGATTATGAGGTCCTACATATTTAGACAAATTATAAATACAAAATAACAGAAGAAGTATTTTGTATCTGAGTTAGGGCTGAAAGTAACGTTTTCATTCATTTCATTAACAATTAAAGTACTGGTTATATCAGAAATTAATTGTTTAGTGTGTAAAACATCATACTGTACAAATTATTGCGAAAAATGACATGTCATTGTTTTGTTTTGATACCTTTGGTCAGAAACCCAAAGTTTCCAATTAATTTGTGACTAATTGCAGCAGCTCTAATTTGAGCCTTTACCTGTATATCAGGGAGATCTGAGATAAATGTTGAAGATAAAACTTTAGCTGAACTAATTTCTTTCATTACACCTTCCATCTGTCAACCTCTTACCCCACATCATCTTATCTGTCCATGTGATGAAATCTTTTTTCAATCTTCAATCTTCAAGCACTCTTTCCAATTTTACATTCCCTTTCCCCTCCTTTATTCTATCATTAAACCAGCCACTTACACCAATAATATGACAGCTGAATGGTAAACTTATTACTTGCCAGATCCTTCATTAATCTTTTATTTTAATTCTTACTCAGCTCATCTTCCTCACTTGCAGAAACACATGAATACTCACATTAAATTAAATTAATTGAATTCAATAAAAAGTATTTTTAAGTGCTACACTTATTGAGTGCCATCACTTCTTAAATCACTTGGAACATCCTGTTATGTTTCAAAAATCTCCCCCCTTGTCTTGATCTTCTTTAAATCCTTCCTCCTCCGTTTCATCCATCCGTGACCATCTTTCTGAGTCCTTTGCTCTTCTGTATCTCATGGATTCAATATCCGCACTATAAGTGATCAAATGCTCCAGTAAGCCAATAAGGCTACACTAGTGTTCATATTAGTCTGACTCACTCATTATGTGCAGAAGCACCAAATAAATACAGTTCCTCATCACACAGACACAGACACAGACACACACACACACACACACACACACCAGCGAGTGAGGTGTCCCAATGCTCCAGGCCTGTGATAAATCATCCAGCCAGTTCTATTCAATCTGCCACTGCTCACAGCTGCCTATAGATAAAAAGTAGTGGCCCTGATGCCTTGAGGCTACTGCAAAGCCACAACTGTAATCTTTACAAGCTACAAGAGCCTGGAGTGATACACTATGAAAATTTAAGTCCATGTCCATTGCATTAACTTTCTTTCCTCGTTCTCTCAGTTTCTCTCTTTAAAAAGTATTTGATAATATAGTGCTATCCAAAATGAATCACATTCTTGAGGTTATTGTGATACCATTCTTTCCTACCACTAATTCAATTTCTATGGTAATGCAAAACACCATGAAGTTACTCGAGAGTGGAAAAAAACCCAACTCATTTGCACACACAAGTGCAAAAAAAAAAAAACACTGGCCAGATAGGCAAACAGACAACGAAATATCATGTGAGCTCACCCATCAAAGCTGACATGTTCTGGAAAATTCTGAGCAGCTCTGGGGTGATGGCTGGACTGTTCTCCAAAGTCACCAACCTGCACGATAGGGAGGGAAGAAGGAGAGCAGGAAGAAGGTTTAGTCAAAAAGCAAGGAGAAGAGAAAATAAAACAGAAAATGGGGAGAAGATGTGACAAAAGAGTACATAAGATATAGATTAGAGGTGGCAAAAGGAAATGGGAGGAGAAGTACAGCAGGACAAATTACAGAGACAGAAAGCAGAAAAGAACATGGGCATCACAAAGGTGGAAAGAAAAAATACATGGTGATGTGGGTGTCAAATAAAAAAAAAAGGAAAAGACAGAGGCAGGGGAAAGCAATGTTAGGGGTTTGCTCAGTGTAAGAAAGACACAGGTGCATAAATCTTTGCATCTACTGAACATAACAATATGATGATAACATAATTTCACCAGGCCTCTCTCTTCATCTCTGCTCATATGGCAACTGATTGTTAAAGTAATTTATTCAAAAAGATCTGACATGCTCTAAGGTCTAAGCTGCTTCAAGTGCATGTATGTAAACTGGAACAGCTTTGAGGTGAATTGCGCAGAGGAAACACAGTTATCGAAAACCCCAGACAAAGGTTGGTGGATTTCACCTAGAAGTACCCAAGAAGATGAGACATGAATGACTGATTGGATGCATCCTCCACAAACTAAGAAAAAAAAAACAAGATAGACAGATACTGAGAGGGACACAGAGAGAAAACCAGCTGATAAAAGATAAAAGCAAAAGAAAATGACATTGACTTTGTAAACAAAGCAGACAAATATTTAGGGCACGGTTGTTTATCAGGAAGGATAAAAGACAGGACAGAGACATAGGACTGTGGCTTTGCGCTATAAGCATACACAGCATCCTGAACACTGCAGGTCTCCACAGGCAGAAAAAAAGAGATTAAAGAGGGAGTTAAAAAGCAAAGAGATGATGGGAGAGTAACAAAAGGTAATGGAATGCATTTGCAAAAGTGAGCGTACTGTTTTGCTGCAGATGCTTGAGTTAGCTTTAAAGTGGTACGTGCCCAAAAACATACAGGAAAGATTGCGAGCCACATAATCACCCACCTAGTGGTAGTCTTTGAAAAAGCAAATTCAAATAAGATGTCACGGTAAGCCCATTAACTGCTACTTATCTGCAAAGTGTTTCCATTTGCTTCACATATATGTACTCGACATGAGTCAGTAAATGAGGCTGATGACTAATATGACCAATAAAAATGGGACTCATGAGTGAACTGAGCAGCAGAGAAAAGGGTAAAAGAGAGAGATAAAGACAGCTATAGTTATAGTATGGATGTGTAGGTGTGTGTATGTGAGGGTGATCTGAACAGTGGGGGAGGAAATGAGATCACCAAGAGCTTCATAAACATCTGCCTCAGTGAGCTTTTTCTATAACTTATAAACATGTAGTGTTTATGAGTGTGTCCATACCAAAGCTCCAGTCCATCCTCCAGCAAATACACATGAGGCGGCTGGGAAACATCGGTGCTCAGCTGGATGACAGGAAGAAGGAAAGGGTACAGATTCTTACTCTCTGCCCCCAGGCCCTGTTAGAACACACAGATACAAAAAGTCAGTGACAAGTAGGAAAACCTGACAAAGAATGCAGACGGGGAGCTTTAAGAGGGCCGTACTTTATGTGCTTTTACTTAATGGGTGTTCTTTGCAGACCATCTACGCAAAGTGGGGTACCACAAACTTAAAGAAAATATTCAATATACCATACTTACTCACACCTTCCCAGCAACACACATCTTGTCAGAGCATGTTGTCCCCATGCTCCAATACTAGTGCGAGAGCTTACCTTGTTCTTACAACAGATAAGATGCATGTGCAGAGCCAGCGCGCTGTAGGGCAACTGTTCCCCCTTTCAATAACAAGGAGGTATCATAAATTGTGGCTTTTGGTACTCAAAGGACTTATGTTTGGCTGCAAAATACATGCCCTAAGGTGCAAGAGTTTTGTAGGGATTTCTATATTCATTTTATGGCTCTTTTAAAACCGTGTGGGACCATATACTTCAATTGGTTGAGGAAAAAGGCTCAAGTACAACTGAAGGATCTAACTCAATGTCCATGTAGTGGTCATATACATATCAAATCAGGTGACATGAGAGTGAGTAGGAAATGGACGGGAATTTCACTTGGGAAGAACTGCTCTTTAAAAGGGTAATGCACAAACCCATTTGTTACACATGAACATGCACTGGACATAAGCAAGGGCAATGAGCTCTACAGTATCACATGGCTTTTAACTTATGAAAGGAAGATAGGTCTACTGGGAACACAGTTGAAGAAACATTTCTGAAAGGCACTACATCGCACGGTGGTAGATTTTACCACATCGGTCTCTTTCATAGAGGCTGAAAGCCAGAAAAGAACTGTATCTCTCTTTTGAATACTCTCTGGTCATTTTGCATTTTATTTGTGTGCTGTACGTAGAGTATATATTTTACATCCCTTCGTAACAGAATGGAGTTCACACCTACTATGAGAATTCTTCCAGATGCATTTGCAATTTGGATTTAGCTTCCCAGCTCATATTTATCTGTGACAAAAGTATAAAACAGTTCACATCTCTCTACTTTCCCCATATTGCTGCTCCATCTCTGATGTGTGTCAGTGAACTCCAGCCGCACTGGATAATTTAGCAAGGATGTTCTATTACATTTATCATTCTTCATGATTTGTATCTGTAATATCTGTATTATTGCAAGCACAAAGACTATATCCATTTTGGCTACATACAGTATATTCTATTGTTGTTTTGTAATTCCTTTGAAATATTTAAATTTATAATAACTTTAGAAGTCTATAAATCCAACCATACTTTATATTATATGCATTATATTACATTATACTGTATATATTAAAATATAAATTAGTATGTGGTTACACAATTTGCTAATCCAAGCCCCTTCAGCTGTAGACCTTCAGTGCCTCCCACAGTTCTTCCAGATGTGTACTTGTGTCACTCTCTCAAAGGGAGTGTGTCTCTATCACTGAACGTTTCATCTCACACTGTGAAATAATGCAGCAGCAGACACATGGGGGTCCTAATCTTTCTGCAGGCTGAGACAATCTGCTTCAATGCTGTGATGGAATGGAGCTTCTGTCTCAGACTATTTTCTTCTTAACTTGAGTTAGTCAGTGATAAACCTGATTGATATTGAGGCAAATGAGTGAGTTGCCCCACAAACACACCAGCACCTGGAAAGACAAGACCGAGCCTCTCTCCAAGTTGCCTTATCCAGGATGATCACAATATCTGGCAGGTGAGGGCAAGGTAGAAATAAAACCAAGGTTTGGCCCAGGTCTCTTTTGGAACTCAGTAACATGTGGCCAGATGAGCAAAAACACTTTTGTGATGTTTAATTTTGTACACAAATGCCTAATTCTGCTTGGCTGACAAGAACATTTCTGTGCATTAACACTGTACATACTGTATGCATCTTCTGTAACTCGATGCACAAATACTATACCTGTACCAGGTGGATGAGTGTAGTGAGTATGGCACATCGAAGCATGTTGTGCTCTTCAGATTGCTTCCAGAGCAGGGGCAGGTACTGAACCAGACAGCCTACGTATGGTCGGATCTGAAGCAGAAGAAAAGTAAATGACAAATATGAAGCAAAGCATATAATACTGTAAAATTGTACCTGCATATTCCACGACAGCTTAACAGTTTAACTACTATCAAACCCATGTTAAGAGTCTACTAAGGATGATGCAGAATATAGTATTTTTGGGAACAGTGAAGACAACTCAAGCAACTGCTTATTTGGCCTCTAAAGTGTGTTAACATTACATACACAGGATAAAAGAAAAGTGAGCATCTACTGTATGCACTTAGTGTAATGCTTCCCCTCAAATGTTTGTACGTTTGGCTCTTCAAGCAGTGAATTCAGAGCCATTTCCCATATCCCTCTTGGTCTCTATCATCCCGAATCAGCTCTATCAAAGCATGCCTCAGTGGAATAGCCGTGGAAGGAAAATACTGGACATGTAGCATGAGTTGAACTCATGTGAAAAGTAGCGCAACAATGTTCAGATTATGTTCAGATCAAGACACTTCTGAGGAGCTGGTTGACCAAACCAGAGATAATATGACACTGTGCATAGAAAAGAATGACCCATGGACCAATGTTCACAGCTAACAGTACCCCAAATTGATTTATCTGAACTCATGCTCAATGCGACAGCAACTTCTACAACAATCTTTATTATAACAAAATGTGTCTGTATTTATTATTATTATTTAAATGTCTATATTTTTCTTTTAAATCAAGTTATTTTGTTGAAAACACTAGTAAAATCAGAATGGTCAGACACCAAATGGATGCAATCACTCTCATTCCTGTGTGAAATTGGAAAATGTGATGGCACACTATAATTTAGGTGCAGTTACTGTGCGGCCAGGCAACTCTAAGACTTCTGAGTATGGCACTGAATTACAGACCTCAAAAAGTTCCTGCCATTTTCATGTGCTGACTTGTGCTCACCCTTCAGATTCCCTATAGCAGCTCTTAGGTCGGGCTGCAGACCCAACGGTGGGATTTTTTTGCTCGATTACACCTTTTTAAAAAGGGGCTGGGTAAGAGTGGAGGGAACAGTAAAAAAGAAACAGGACATACAGCCTTGAAGAGAAAGATTAAAAAGTGAGAAAAACAGACCCACAAACCAGCCTAGGATGACATTTGTGGGACGGATAGCAGCAAAGGGAGCTAAATCTTATAACATCTGTCATCATGTTCATTTCAACTCAAGCTGCACTCATGATTTCATTGACTGGTTTTCTCAGCTGCTGCCACTCTTTGTGGGTTCGAAATCCTTTGTGAGAAGGGTTTGAATATTAATGGGACTTCCACTGACTGTAGAAGTTTAGCCAGGGCCAGTGACTGGGGAAGACTTAACCAGAGTGACAGTTCACAAGGATGAAAGTCATTTCTGTGACAGATTTAAGTCAAGGGATCGTTTAAGGGAAAGTGCTTAAAAAACAGATCTGAAAAGAGCCTTGGGGGGGTCGAGAGGAAGGTCAATTTTTTTAAGAGTTGACAGTTAAGTGGATTAGAACGCCTTACTGGATGCTCAGAAAAAAATAAAATCCATATGGCCACAAAAGCACTGCAGTGGCAGAGGGGAGACTGTGTCATCATGGTAAATGAGAGCTGACATCAGAACAAGGGCTGCCTTAGGCCTTATGATTTACAAAGAGTCAAGAATTGGACTTGCAGTAGCTTTACTAGGATGTGAAAAATCATTAATGTCTAGCTATCTTTGAGGACAGATGGTTGTTTTACCATGGGGGTCTGGGGCTAGCACAGGGTGACAGATGTTTTGTATATGTGTTATAATGTTTTTAACAGCTTTTTAACACGTCCCCTGCAGAGTCCACATCAATGACTACAATGTAAGCAGTGCTATAGACAGTATATGAAGTACGTAGCGTTTGACTCAACTTCACATACTGTAACTGATGATGGTAAAGAAATGGAAGGAAAAACAATGTGACCTACACTTCCAAAGATAATTATTTATTTTATATCTCAAATCTCACCTGGATGTTTACTCTCTCAATGACACAGGAGATGACATGGAGCACCTGCATTTTCGTGTCGCACTCTGTCACCTGCTGCAACAACTGGAAAAGCAGCCCAAATATAGACTCGAGGTACTAAACAAAGAAAATTTAAGAGTTAGAAAAAGGGGAAATGAAGAGGTGAAAACATTAATTTATTCATTGATTATGGTGACATTTTGATTCTGCTCACAACTAAATCAAAAGCAAATGCAGTAATTACCACATTAGTGGTACAAGTACTCACTGGGAGGAATTGCTCTGTCCGGAACTCAAAGTCATCAACAGGTGGTCGTGAGTTAAGGATGAAATCAAACTGCTTAAGACAGGTATGCATATGTATTGATCTGGCAAAACTAAGGACTGATAAATATTGTAAGCCGTTGCATTAGACTTAAATAGCAAGCATAATATAAATAGCATGATTGATTTTATTGCAAAAGTTAGTCCCAATCTGAAAAACAATATAAGTACAGGAAGGATATTTAGTTTCAGGGTTGTAGCTGTCTCAATCCGTACCTATAAGGGAAAAAAAGAAGACAAACACACAAAAAAACTTTAATCATTTTAGAAATCAGGCATCCCTCATTTACGACTCTAAAAGTGCATCTGGATTGCTAGCTAATCAAAGTTGTAGAGAGAGAAGACACATTGAGTTTGCAGTGAACTTGAAATTGAAAGAGAGCAAGAGCAAAAGAAATGTAGAAATAGACGAATAGGAACAGAAGATTGCCACAGCTGCAATGCAGCAATATGCAGCAATATAAGCCAACGCGAAAAACTGCAATTACCTTTCCCTCTAATGGCAGTCTCAGAAAGACCACAACAAGCTTTTTATAACTGAACACTCTGTATGTGTGTGCACCTGCAGCAACTAAGCTAAATACAGGCTGTCTATTGTTATCTAAGGAAGTGGCCCTCCACTCTTATAGACTCCAGCAGTATATTCTAGCAGTGTCAGAGTGGTGGAGGTGGAAATGCCCACAAGGGACAAAGTGATCAGACGGAGGAGATTAAAGAAGGTAAATGAAAGAAGAGAAAGGTGAGGGACTGAGAACTCAATTACAGCCGGTCCTAGCTTTCAACAATTTCACAACACATGTAAAGCACAAGACGCAGCGCAAGAGTCTGTACGGGCGGATAAGTGAAGGTGAGTGTGTGTTTGTGTCTGTGTGAGCAGTGTTACAGACAAACATTACTAACACAACGCTATCCAATTTATGAAAGGTCTTTGCAAGCTTTGTCATGCAATTTTAGTCCAAATAGCTTCAGATGTATTTGACTGTTTCTTTATTTCCTAACACAGGTTTGTTTTTTAACTTGCCACAAGGCTCAAGAAAAGAGTTAGGGAGTTACAGATATTCAGTTATTATTGAATATGTATAACTCCCTGTAGATAAACAGTTACAACTTTATGTGATATCCTCAACTACTTAACCAACTTGATTTTATAAAAGGAGTACGGTCTAAACCTGCTCTATTTAAAAAGTTTCCTGAGATAACTTCTGTTATTATTTGGCGCTATACTATTGAAATTTATTTAACCGAACTAGTAAGCTGCAGAGCACAACCTATTATGCTGTAAATAATAGTGGCTAGAAAAATAATTCATATCAATCCTTGTTTTCTCTAAGTGCATATTTTTTTCACATCTTTAAATATGATAAACCCCTAGATTATATTTGTGCTGTTTTGGAAGATGTGTTTGTTAAATATTTTATTTTTCAGTTCATAAAGCATTAATATATCCATATTTGTAGCTTATTCTCTTAAAACACACACAGTGCTTCTCTTTTTAGACTGTACTTTTTATACTGTCCTACTTTTGATAACAATCAATTCACTTCAAAGTAACTCCGCTTTCTGGAACTTACTTATTTTGCACCAGCACAAGCTGAGTAGTATTATTTGAAGTGACTTAAATTAAGTGATTTAAATATGCAGCAAACTTTCAAAAAAAACCTCCCAGAAGAACAATTTCCACATCTTTAGTTCAGACCTGTCCCTACTACAAAGGATGATAACAGCAAAGTTTCTGATTTCGGCTTTAAACTGCTTACTTTTTATGACTAATTATGAACAGTATGCATCTATGAAGAACTGAAAAGCAAACAGACTCCAAGGCTGTCATGATACTGTCTAAAACAAGCAACAATACCACAATAAGTATGATTTAACATGGTTTTGTCAAAGGAGTGCATGGAATACAGCATAAAACTGAGTCATTAAAAACACATTTGACTCATTTACATAGATTAAATTATTTGCATAATCTGCACAGAATGATATTTACATCTGTGTAACTCTTTAATATGTATATTTAACAGGCTATGGGTTTGGTAATGTCATCTCAACAAGACACAAAGTTTCATCTTCTCTCTAAGAACAGCAGCATGGCAGAAAACTGCCAATTTATTCAGAAAGACACAAAGACTATTTCATGTCATTATTAATCTATCAAATATATTTAAACTGACAAACAGACTTAACTGTCATCCTATATCCAAACATGAAGATAAGTGAGACCACTGTAAAATGTACATTCAAGATGTGACATTGCATAAAGTTGAATTTGAGACATAGTTGGATATAGAGATGTACAAATTTCCCCCTTGAGTCTGCAAGATCATAAAATGCAGAATAATGTTTTAGTAATGCTGCATACATAACAAGCAACAAAAGGAGTATGTTGATGAACGAGACCCATCAGTTGCCATCAGCACTGGCCTTGTTGGCAATTCACACACTAATGAGAGAAACAGCATTACAATTCCACAACAAAGTGTAGAAGATAATAGATTGCTTGATGACATACTCAGATGAGTCTCATAAAACACACAAATAGACACACACAATGCCTGACAATGACTGAGTAAAAACATTTGCTTCAAATCATTATTTAGTCTCAAACAGTCTTTGAGGAATACTAAAAAACAGCAGGTTCAAAATGAATTTAAAAGTGATTGAAGGTTTAATCAGTGAAAATTACATCGAACCATCTCACTGAATCAAAACAAGCATAGGAAAAGCTTCACTTTACTTAGGGTTCTGTAAAAGGCAACACCAGAGCAAAAAAAACTGATAGGACAGTAAAACTGGTGTACGCAGCTATGTCCAGACAAACTGCATGCAACATAAATACACACACACTTTTCCATCAGGAAAATAATTCAACGGGTGCTTCACTCGTATAAACAAATGGCAGTTATTACCTGGACCATAGATAAATACAGATGGCATCGATTAAAAAAGCCCAGGAGCTGGTCAACGTTTCATTATGGCCTCACAGACACCAACACACAGAGGCAAATGACAAGGCAACACACAGGTATTATCTGGAAATTAGAATTAGAGTAGATAAACAACAATAATTTGCACAAATTGTAGCTACAGCTGGCTTATCACTAAATTCACTAGAATAGAATAGAGAATAGAGAGTTATCTTATAATAAGCTTTTTAGACGAGAAAGAAATGATTAATAGTTAGTGTTGTGGATTTACTTGTGTGTCTCAGATAATTTAACTACAAAGTTAATCATTTGGAAAGAATTACACTAATGAAAAATATTGATGTTTGGCATGCTGGGAACCCTGATGTAATATGGGTATGGTAAAATTCTGATTTTAAGGAAGGCCTTTTACAATTCACTCCAATGTCATGTTTGCTACACCCTCTCCTTGCTGTGAGGTTGTGATCTTCAATTCCAGTAATAACTTGTGGTTCAAAACTGACGTCAGTCATGACAGTGTATCTACCGTACAGTAACTAAAACCTTGATTGAGTGGGATTATTATGATGAATGTAAAATCCATATTTTAAATGCTCCAAAGCCTTCCAGCACTTGAGGAAAGTGAACAGAAATGGGACTAAAACATCACAGCTTGACGGTGTCAAAGCTGGCTTAACAGCAAATTCTAGAAAAAATTATTACCTCCCACTGGGAACGCAAATGGCCTGAAAACAGAAGGAGTTAAACTTGCCACCAAGATTATTTTTAGCCGTCTATGAGTAAACATAAGAGAAGAATGCAGCTGTAGAGGAGAATGTATTGGAGGAAATGAGGATTCAGCTCATGAATGTCATTGATCGATGCCAATGAACTGTTGATGTGTGCATCTTTGTCTAACATTACAAAACATACAAAGCTCCCACAGGGTGTAAAATTACCAATAACATCTGTATTTACTGTAGACTTCTGCATTTCTCAAAGGAATAACAAATATAGATATATTAGCATCACTGATAACAAACTAAAATAAGTAAGCATGTTGTTAGTTGTTAATCAAAAAATGATCTAAAATGAAACCATTTATTAGTATAAAACGAAAATGTGTTCCTTTGTCGTTACAGAACACCCGGATTGCACCTGACCTTGACATATCCTTACTAGACTTCAGCACCACAAGCTACAAAAATGCCTCCTCAGGAAGAAAGAGTATGACCCAGACGAGCATGACCTCCTTTATGGGTTAATTTGAAGATTTCACAAATCACATTTAAG